CTCCTAGTAGTAAGGCCAGGAGCCCCTGGTAGCGTCCTTGCTCCTAGGTTGGAGGCCATTGTTTCTAGATTCATCAAACAAGCACTTTCAGCGCCTGCATACGACCATGCTGCCGCTGAAGCATCCGACTGGCAGAAGCAAAGATTCATGAATGGTTATTTGTGCAGCCTTCACAATTCTAACCGCTCGGTGGTACTGTTTGTATATGACGTACATGATCATGACATAGATATCTCACAGTTGAAGGATGTTGATTCCTTCAGTTTTCACAATCTTCTTTTCGCTGAGAAGCAGTTGCCCTTCAAGACGTCGATATTCCTCCTGCCATCTTCGCAAAATGAAAAGCATGGAAGCGAGTGTTCTAAAAGAATTCAGAACACCCACCTCAGTGACACCAGAAGAAGCATTGACCTCGGTCGACTTTGCGGTGACTGCGGGAGAAGGAAACGCACACTACGCAGCTTGTGCCCAGCTCGTGTTCCATCACAACTTTCAATCGATCCCGAATCCGGAAGTGGTGAAAGCTACTCAAAGTGTGTGACCGGTGGTTACGGAGAGCCTACAACCCAGTGCGCATCTCACCCCACAAGTTTCACTGACAAAGCAACTTAGCGCAAACATCAAGCAAGGAAATTCCCGCAAAAACACCATTATGTATTCTCTTAGGTTGGAGGCCATTACTAGTAGGTTGGATTCTCTTTATCAATATTATGTATTATCTTTGATTCTTCACTTATCTTGCTTCCTCTTTGGAAAGCAGCCAGGCCTTGCAGAGTTCATATGTTTCTACATCCGATGCGCGCACGCCATTTTTAATGGTCGTTCCTTCACATGTGAAGCTCAAAATGTGGCCTTAGTATGCGTTCTTAATGGGTTTCCACGAGAGTTATTCTTGGCTGGTTCAGGTCATAATCAACGCTCACCCGACTAGCTAACCACGAACAAAAGGACCACTGTCTGGCACATGTGCGGAGCCCAAACCAGATGTTCTCTGCATATTACCAAGCAAGCCAAACACCAATTGGGAATCACTACAAAGCCCAACCCAGCACAAGAGTATACCAGCATAGACCCCAAATTGTTTCAACATGAATCTTGTTATGTCCATTCCTTAAATTCCAAATGTTGGTGGAAACGTCTGCAATTGTATTCCTACAGCCTCCAGCTGTTTGGGAACAGCATAACAACATTTTTGGGGACAGAGTATCACTCTTGCATTCGTAGCCACAAGAAAACATACAAGGCCACAAGGCGGTGGAGAAAGGGAAATCAGCGGGGCCAAACAGCCCGGACAAGGCCCGGACAAGGCGGTGAAGAAAGGGAGGCCGGGTCGGGGGGCCCATGGAAAGGGCAGACGACGGTGCCACGACCTGCACCCTATCGTCCTTGCTCCTAGTAGTAAGGCCAGGAGCCCCTAGTAGCTTCCATGCTCCTAGTAAGGCAACTCGCTTGAAAATCACCAGAGGTTGCATCATTTCAGAGAAAGAACAAACAGGAGAGGCCTTGGAGAGGCATATGAAATGCGGTTTCAGGGCTGTCTTTCAGGTGCAATGCTTCATGTGTTTCACATGATGTGTGTTTTCTGTGCTGCACTTCTCTTCTTTCTCTTCTTCACTGAGGTTCAGGCCGAAACTTTTTCACCTTTCTTCAAACGGGAGTTTTCAGCCTCAACTTCGAAAGGAAACTTCGGAAGCTTCAGAGCTAGATTTGGAAGGTCCACCTGCAAGCTTCGAATCACTTCCTTCATGTACCTCAAAGAGATTGACCAGTCAAGCGCTGAGTGACGGCGCGAAACGTAACTGAAAGCGGTAAGCCATGAAAACAGTGCGAAAAAGGACACCTACTAGCGATGGCCTAGAGATGACCTCCAACTCCCACCTACTAGAAAACAATAGCACATAGCAAAGGGAAACCGGCAAATAGGACGCGAGTCGGGCTGTGCGAATCACGAATCGCTGTGCGAATAAGGAAGCGCTCATCGCTAGGAGCACAAGAGCTGCTGGTCTTCGTGACCTCGAAGTCTCACGTGTCACGAAAGAAGTCTCGACTCCGCTCACGGCACGTATATTCCGCTTGACACTGAAGTGAAACTTGGAAAAAAGATCTAAAAGTTGGCAACAAGAAGCTACAGGGGCTCCTGGTCTTACTACTAGGCTACTAGGCGCAAGAACGCTAGTAGAAACAAAGGGCATTGCTACGAACGGAGCAAGGACGCTACTAGGGGTCCTGATGTCCAAGTCACCTGATCTTCGATCCTGGCGACAAAGCGGACTGCAAAGCATATCGAAGCACAACTGGTGCATTGTCTTTTTGCCTCTTATTTTTGTGATGTGTTTTTCTTTTGCGGGGAGGGGTTAGGCTGTGAAGGGGTGGGAAGGTAGCTGGGTAGCTAAGCTTCAAGTCGAAGAAAGCTCATGAATAATCGAATATATACTGTATGTGTATCAGGCAAAAAAATTAGGGTTCTGAAAAATTTGACCCTTGGACGAAACGGATCCAACAGAAAATTGCGCAGTGACCCACCTGATTGCTTCTTCCACGACCCTGTGCCTGCAGGGCAATGAATCAACACGTCAAGAAGAAGGCCATACATACAGCAAATAAGTCGTATAACAGTTTTTGGATTCAGTAAGAGATAGTCACATCGATATCCAGCGGATTCAATAAGCACGTTTTTTGTCATTGCCATTGCTTTCCATTTGTCCGTCCGCCTCTCGGTCGGCGGGTCTGGCCTGGAGCAAACGAAAGAGAGAGTTAGGATAACAGTGAAAACTCCCAAGGAATGGAGGCACTACTAGTAGCAAGAAGCTACTAGGAACAAGTGCATCGCTTCTAGTAACAAGTGCCTTACTAGTAGTAACAAAGAAGCTACTAGGGACTCCTGGCCAGGCTAGGTCGGTTGGAGGCCATCGCTGGTCGGTTGGAGCCCATCGCTGGTCGGTTGGAGCCCATCGCTAGTCGGTTGGAGGCCATGGTTAGTAGGTTGGAGGCCATC